AGACACTTGGCACATAAAACTTAAGGCTCTCGATAATATTGGAACCCTAGACTACCAAAACCAAGAACTGAATAATGTAAATGGCAAATTGAAAAACCGAATTGTAATCGGAAATTTTGGAGCACGCACTGGCCGCAAGCGCTTTAGACATTGTTTTTTTGATCTGCCTCTCTCGTTCTCCCTCTCCCTCTCCACTCTCCACTCTCCATGTTGCATTAGGCTTTTTGGATAGACGAGGCACTGGCATAATATTTTCGCTAGCAGGAATATCTGTTAAATGATAAAACGACGCTGCCGGCATATGAATGAGGGGCGGGACAGGCGGTCTCCGGTTGGGGATTGCCGTATAGCCGGAACCTTAATTGAAATGTAACAATGGCAGGCGGAAACAGCCGGCAGTTTGTGTCTGGGCCGACAATGAAATTGAAAAATAATTCAAAACACGTTAGTGTAATTTAGTGTCTACACTGGCCTCGGCTCGTACTGCCCCGTAAGCTCCGACAAATACACCGCATCACCGCCCTATAGACGAAAAACTACGTCCGTGCATTTTCTGCGTTTATTTTTTTTTTGTTGTTGTTCACACATCAAAGCAACGATGCCAGCGCCAGGTCCCGTGTTCGCAAATTGGGCAATTTACTAGCACACACACACACACACAGAGAGAGAGAGAGAGAGAGGGGTGGGGGGAGCGGCATGTGTGTATCATTATCACAGCAACCACTGAGCCCGGAACCACCCATAGACAGGAGTTGGCAATTTCGCCACAGGCGTCTTCTTTTACACTTAACTGTTTTTCCACGTATTTCGCATCACCTGTGTGTGCATGTGTGTGTGTGTGTGTGTGTTGTGTATGTGTGTGTTGTGTATATACCTAATTTAATAGCAAATCAATTTGTGTTAATCTAGGCAGCGCTACGAGTCCACCCACCCAACAGCCAACAGTCGAGCAGCCCGAACGCCCGAAATGGGGCGCTCTAAATAGTAGAGTTTGTGCTCCAAAGCTCAAATTAAGCAGAAGCGAAAATTGTTTAACTAGAAATCTGTTAGCCTTACAGCAACTGAAAGTTGAGTCTACTTGTGGTACAATGGATTCTGGTATATATGGTATATACTGCTGTAGATCATAGTATATACCGATATGTACTATATGGTATATGCTGCTGCATACTATTCTAGTATATACTGCTACTATATGGTATATGCTGATAGCACTCAAGAGGTACTTTGATATTCAATTAACTGAAAGTAGAGTTTAGTTAGGGAAGAGTAGACCAAAGCGGCTTATAAATAGACAAATGGTGCATAGTGCCGCAATATATGGTATATACTGCTATATACCATTCTAGTATATACTGCTATATACCATTCTAGTATATACTGCTATATACCATTCTAGTATATACTGAAATATACCATTCTAGTATATACTACTATATACCATTCTAGTATATACTGAGATATAGTATATGCTATATATAATGGTTTGGTATATACTGATATTTACTATATGGGATATACTGCTATATAACATTCTAGTATATACTGAGATATATTATGTGCCATAATACTGGTACATACTATTGCATTGCTATATACCATTCTAGTATATACTGAGATATACCATAAGCTATTATAGTATATACATACATGTATGCGCTGTATGATATATACTGCTATATACCATTCTAGTATATACTGAGATATATTATGTGCTGGTACATACTATTGTATTGCTATATACCCTTCTAGTATATACTGAGATATACCATAAACTATTATAGTACATACTGATATGCACTGTATGCACTGTATACTGCTATATACCATTCTAGTATACACCGATGTATACCATATGTTATTAGTATATAGAACAGTATATCAGTATATATACATGCTATCATAGGATATATGATAATAACCCTCAAAAGCTATTTTCAAACTGAATGAATATTCATATAAAACTCTCCAGCCTAAGACATTATTCGAAAATTCAACTTATACTGGGGAAATACTGTTTTTCATCTATTCAATACTATCAAGAATTTTGTTGGATAAGATAACAACTCCCAGCCTCAGGCACAGCGAGTGCAAGTAAATGCTGCAATTGGGCCCGTGCGCGCCTGCGGGGCGGCTGAACCGCTCCTGTGTCTCACATGTAACTCAACCATAAATTTGCAACACTCGCACACAAAGGGCAGCTAAGACGTTTATCTTGGCCTTTTATGCACGGCTCGGCTAGCGGGCAGGGGGCGGAGGTGGGCCTTGGTAGGGGCGTGGCAAATGGCGTTGCTCTGTAATTTTTGAATTATATCTAAATGTGCGGCTAAAACCAGTTCCAGTTCCACACACGCCCACGCCCAGCCCCGCCCACCACAACATTGGCAAATTAACAAAGGCAGCGAGAGGGGGGGGGAAGGAGAAGAGCGCGGACAGCAGTCGAAAGAAAGGAAGCAAAAAAAAAAGTGCGCCAATTGTCAACTAACGCCTGCAGCTATTTGTCTGCAACAGCAGGAGGCGGGGCGGGACGGTAGCGAGTGTGAGAGAGTGTGGCAAATAAATATGAAAAGGAATTTCAATTGCTGCCAGCTTCTCAACCGCTGCTACTGCCGCTGTTAAAACGGTTTTCACTTTAGATTTCCGCTGCGGCCGCGGGCAATGCAAAAGCAATTGCAAAGAGTTTGCCAGGAGGCAGGCGGCAGGCGGCAGGCAGCAGGAGCTGGGCTCGACTCGACTTTGGCTTTGCCAGAGATGAATATCATTCCGGCGGAAGTTGCGCAGTTAAGCTGCGAGAGGGTTGCGCCTCTCTGGCTGCGACATAGTTGCCACCAATTAGCGCCGCTTGCTGTGAAGCTGCGACACCCAAGTTGCAGGACGAGAATGTCGTCATGGCATTGTTTATGTGACCGTTGTTGTTGTTGCTATTGTTGTTGTTGTTGCTGTTACTAATGAAGCGCAGCCCAGCGGCTGGCTGCTAAAAGAGTTAACCACAAAAAGTTGCCGCCGCATTGAGCTACTTAAAAAGTGCTGCTGCTGCTTGTTATTGTTGTTGTTGTTGCTGCCAATTTGACAATAACAAAACAAACAAAAAAAATAAAATAAATGAGGCAAGACTGGAGTTTTGACTAAGTCGCTCTAATTGCCCAGGCATTTCAGACTAATTAAAAGTCTATGCAAAAAGTTAGCTAAGCGCTTTAGCGGCTGTAAATCGCCCACACACACACACACATACACATTCTCTCCCTCACACACACACACACACACACACACAAGTGTAGTATACTTTTGAGCGCTGGCGTTTTATTAATAATCGACGTCCAGTTGAGCAGAGAAGCCCGAGACCAAAAAACCGAAACCAAATCCGTAGCGCTGGCCAAAAAACTGACACATGACTGTCCCAGCAATGACCAGTCAAATTCTGTTTTTTGCCAGTGGGCGTGGCAGGCGGGACTGCGGCTGACATGCAGATAAAAAATAAACAAACAGTGCATGATTTTTGCCAACAGCCAGAGAGGCGGCGCACGTGGATACCCTGCAAGAGGCTAGCGAGAGCTCGGACTGAATCAAAAGTTATCGATAACAACCATAAAAAAATTAAAATCTTTTATGGAAAACAAAGAAATGAAGCTGAAAAGCCATGCGAGACGAATTGCTTTTACAGCCAACTATAAATCGATATTTATCTATTTGTAGTGTTATCGGCGTGTGTCAGCGAAGGCGTATAGCTATAGTAATAACTATTTGCAGGCACAACATATGAACTATTGAGGACTACTTGCTGCTTGCTTTAAAAGTTGTGAAAATGTTGTGCTTTAAGTTCGATAATAATCGATATAGTTTTATAAAAGTAAAAAAAACGTTCACCCAAGTCAAAGTCAAAGGAAAATATGTAAAAATCACTCCATAGCAATGCGTCTAGACTTATATTTAATACAGAAACAGCTAGCTGGCATATCGATAGTTATCGATTTTAAGCCAGAAATTGAATAAACTTGTAGAAAGAACTCAGTTAGCTGAAGGTCTTATGATTTTACTATATGCACTCAATACATACGTATAGAGCCAGAAAACTGCATGGAATATAGACAACTGCACAATCGATATTTATCGATTTAGAGCATATGCCACAGGGGCATCAAATAACTTATTTAAGACGGGCAGCAGCTAAAAGCAACTCGGCGCGCATTTCCCTGCTGGCAATTTAAATGTTTGCTGGGTATAAAAGACAGCTAGGATTGCGGGACTGGGGGACTGAATAGACAGCTAGGCTGGGCTGCCCTATGCAAGGCTGTGGGGCGTTGGGGCTTGTGGCTTGGCAGGCTAATGCCAATCAAGGCGCTGTAATCAGTTTTACAACAACTCAACAGGAAGGGCCGCAAGTAAATTGTTTGTGTCAATGCAGCAGGCAGAAGACTGATGAAGTCGTTCCTTGGCCTGTCCAAATACGCCACAGCTCATCATCGTCTTGTCATTGTCAGTCACACAGAGGAGGAGAGAGAGAGAGAGAGAGAGTGAAAATTGATTTGTAACGTTTAGGAAAACGTTGAGCCAGCTATTAAATGTCATTCATCATTATGCTAAGTCAGGGCAGATTGAAAGCGCAGAGAGCGCTGCCCGTGGCGGTGGCCGGAAACCGGAACCAGTTCTCGTTCCACATCCCCCCACCCCCCACGCCGATGTTGACTTTTTGGTTATCCAGCGCAAAAACAATTGTGGAAAAAAAAAGTCGAAAAGCATTTTGATCAGCGCCCACGCTGACGGCCGACCAAATCGACCAACAGGAAATTGAAATCAATCCATCAATATGGATTACAGGCGCTCAGCTGGAGAGCTGTGCTGCTCCCTCCCTCTCTCTCTCGCTCTCGACAGTGGATGTGGGAGTTGGGGGTGGACCACGGACCATGGCCAGACCAAGGTGCCAGTCATCATCCTCAGCATGTTTATCATCGGCATCATCATCATTGTGTTGACTTTGTGGCCACTTGGCCTCCAGCTGCGAGTCGATGTTAGCCATCGTCCTCATTGGCGCTTTGTATGAGTTGCAATTTGACAAGCAGCAGGCTAATTAGTTCCGCACAGATTTGACAAAAATTAATGTCTGCTAATCAAGCTACAGTAGAGATACAGATAGAGATACAGAAGCAGATACAGCTACAGCTAGAGAGACAAATAGGAAAACAAACCGAATTGCTGACCCCAAACTCAACGATTGCTGTGCTGCCAAGTGCAGCTCAAAGTGCTGATTAGTTTGCTTTTTGAGGCAAGCGGGTAGCTAGCTGAAGGGGCCTCGCTCGATTGTGTTGAATTCGATTTGCCAGGGACTGCACGCCGTGGCCGAAGTTAACTTATGAACTAATTGAATCAATGGGGTCCTTTGCACGGCCTTACCACACATAATTGCAGCATCAACTGGCCGAGAGCAGCAGCTGTCATGCGCATCTACTTTAAGCAAGGAATTTTCATTCTGTGCAAGATTTTTACCAGCTCCAAGTTAGGCTGAGCTAACGTGCCGTAACTTGGGGAAATAATATTGTATAACCCTATTGCTTGAGTGTTGTGCGTTTGCCGGGAGTATATCGACAGTTCTTGACTAAGATCTTCAGCCTATTAAAAGAGGTTCCTTGGATGGGTAGCACTAGAGTTAGCTAGGCTAGATAAACTCAGGATAAAATCAGCTATCGGGGCATGATGGGTTCTAAGAAAAGTTGTAATAGTTTGAAGTGGAAGCAACTTCTTCCTATGTATAGTCAAAATACCGCTAGTCTAACATAGGTTTTTAGGGTTCCAGAGCCTTGCTTCAAACTTACTTTACTTAATAAATAGTTGTAATAGTTTACGCTAGTAAAAACTTCCTTATATGCATATAGAATCAAACCACCTCTAGCGTAATATAATCCAGCCCCACAAACCCTTAGGCCTTGGTTTCAGTTCACTTCAATTATTGTAATAATTTAAGTAAAGTTGTATTAATTTAAACAAAGCAAACGTTTTCCTATATAGAATCAAACAACCTAACCTAGCCTAACATAACCCTGCACAATAAACCCAAAGGCCTTGCTTGACACTAAGTTTACTTATTAAACATTTGTAAGAGCTTCTACTAGGAAAATCCTTTCCCCATAGAGAATCAAACCACCTCTAGCCCAACATAAACCTGCACTATAAACCCGAACTTGCATTATTGCACAAATGTAAGAGTTTGAACTAGGAAAAGCCCTCCTCATATATATAATCAAACCACCTCTAGCCTAGCATAGTCCAGCATTAAAAGTTTTTAGGGTTCCAGAACCTTGTTTTGAACTAACTTCACTTATTGAACAGTTGTAAGAGCTTGAACTAGGAAAACCTTTTCCCCATATAGAATCAAACCACCTCCCAGCACTAAAGAACCCAAAGCCTAGCCTTAAACTAACTTCAATTATTCCCGAATCAAATCGACATTTGTCTATGATGATCTCCCCTTGTAGGCGCCTTCAATTCGAGCCGTTGCTTAACACTAGTGATACTCACTTCTTCTCCCGTTTGCCAGCACCAGTATCACGAAAGCCCTTCGCAAAGGGATTGTTGTCGATTTTCAGCTGAGTTATCTGCAAATGTCAATGTGGGTTTGGTTATATATGGCACTTGGCTGGTTTATCATAGTTCTATTTATATATCGAGATATGGTTTACCTTCTCATTTTGATATGCAGTCACGGCTATGAACTCCGTCTCCTTGAACACGTACGTGCGAAACGTGGAATATGGTAGCTTCAAGATATCGTTGGCTCGCACCAAATGAAAGCGCGGCTGATATTTATGCATTGAGTTCAGTATTGTCTATAGGGCGAACGAAAGAGATGGCCAAAGAGAAAGAAAGAGAGCATAAGATTAGTTAGCTTAGCATGCAAAATGTAATGGGACAAAAAAAAAAAAAACCAAAAAAGAAAAAAAAAAAGCACGGCACAAGGTATTCCGTTTTGGCGGCAGTAACTTGACAAAACTTGACAGGCTCAAACAGAGGCACACACACACACACACACACACACACACACACACACACACACACACACACACACATGTCTTGGAGTTGAGCTGTGGAAAAGATATTGCAAATGGCTGTGGACTGTGGCACGTCGGCGACATTCCTGTAGGCGACCACCCACCAAAGTGCACGAGTGCCGCCAGAGAGACAGAGAGACAGAGAGAGAGAGAGAGTGGGGGGGGACGGGGAGTGGCCAGAAGTTTTGTCATAAAATATGAATTTGTCTGCAGCAAGCAGAGAGGCGAAGCCGCGAGACCCCCCAAGCAACGACATGCGCGACTGTTGCAAAAGGAACACCTTTTTAATTACCATAACTCGTCGAATCGACTTCGATTAAAACGAAGGAGCGAACGGCAGACCGACGGACCGAGCGACGGAGCGACAGACCGAGCGACAGACCAACTGTAAGCATAGTTCCAGCTCTAGTCTAGGCAGCCAGGCTCTCTAGACCGGGTCCGAGGCGGCCAGCCACACAGTCTCTGTGTGTTTTCGGCTCCTGCTGCTGCTGTGTGGACCTCACAAGCAGCTGCTGTCGTTGCTGTTGCTGCTGCTGTTGCTGAGTCTGGCAACGCCATTTTGTTCATGTAATTTAAAAAGAAAACAAGCTGCGACTTTGACTCAGACTTAGACTTTAGGCTATAGCTCTAGCTGTCTACACTGTTGCTGCTGTTGCTGCTGTTGCTGTTGCTGTTGGCGACAGCAGCAACAACAACAACAACTGGTTGGCTCTACATATATTGTGTGTATCTTGTATCTGCGCTTGATTTGCACGCCCTCTCTCTCTATCTGCCACTGTCCCTCTCTCACTCGCGAAGACCACCAATGGCGATTGCGGTGTCATGCACACAAAGGTGTGACTAATAAGATGCTTGTGGTTGTTGCTCATGTTGTCGGCATTATAATTGTATGTGTAGAGCTGAAAGCTTGTGCTGGCCGTGTTAACGCTTCAGAAGTGCTGAATACAACTAAATAATGCGACAAAGCGCAGGCCAGACTAAACGAAACAGATCTCAGCGCACAGCAGAGCAAAGCAGGAGAAGTAAGCATAAGCAGCAATAGTTGCTGGTAGCTGATGTGGACGGTGCGCTCTGAGTGAAGCTAGACAAGTACGCGGCAAACGCGGCAGGCAGCCATAAGCAAAGCGCGCCGAGACTGACAATAAATGTGTGGCTACAAGCTACAAGTTAATTACCAGGCCGTACGACAGCAGAGAGCGAAAGGTTCAACTGAGGCGAGAAGAGGTAGAGCTGCAATGGCCATACATGTGGATACAAGGAATAATGCGAGTGTGGAGAAATAAGGGTTAGATAAGCAGTGAACCATAATGGGCAGAAAAGCAGCGAGTAGAGATATAGAGAGCAGAGATATGATGAGTAGAGCAGTATCGAGTAGAGCTATACTGAGTAGTGATATAAGGAGTGAAGCTAAAACGGGTAGATCTATTATGAGCAGAGCTATAGCGAGCAGAGATATGATGATGATAAATGAGTAGAGATGTACAAGGTAGAGCTGATGAGTAGAATTATAACGAGTAGAGATATAGCGAGTAGAGCTAAAACGAGTAGAGCTATAACGAGTAGATCTATAAGGAGTAGAGATATGACGAGTAGAATTATGTGAAGAAACATAACGAATAGAGATGTACAAGGTAGAGCTGATGAGTAGAATTATAACGAGTAGAGCTAAAACGAGTGGAGCTATAACGAGTACTGATATAAGGAGTAGAAATATGAAGAGTAATAATATAACGAGTAGCGGTTTGACGAGCAGATATACGATGAGTAGATATACAACAAGTAGAGACACAACGAGTAGAGATGTACCAAGTAGAGCTGTAAAGAGTAGAGCTATAAAGAGTAGAGCTGTTATGAGTAGAGTCGTAGCAAGTACTGCTATAAGGAATAGAGCAATAGAGACCAGACATATAGCGAGTAGTGATATAAGGAGAAGAGATATGATGAGTAGAAATACATATATCAAGTAGAGACACAACGAGTAGAGATGTACCAAGTAAAGCTGTAACGAGTAGAGCTATAAGGAGTAGACCTATGATGAATAGAATCATAACAAGTAGAGCTACAGCAAATAGACCACCAACGAATGAGCACATGATTACAGCTGGTGCGAGTAAGTGCTTTACCATTGCGAATGACATCAAGCAGCAACTGAAACTAATAAAGAGACAATCTATTGACTAACAAATATGCCTAACGAGTGATAAATGAAACGGCAACGAGTAGAGCTACATCAAGTTGCCTTAATGTGGCAAGGCGTAAAGCAAGCAAAGATCAAAATCCCATTACGTTGAAGTACGCAAGATCGTAAATTAAAATATTTTCACACGCCGCCGCAGCAGCAGCAGCAGCAGCTAGGCACGACTCGTCAATTTGAGTGGTCTACTCGTTGACGTGTCACGTTAATTAATGTGAATAGTATAACGACTAAGCGCTAAATGCGTTGCCATTAATTCATGCACTAAGCAAGTGTCTGTCTCGCTCTCTCCCTCTCTCTCTTTCTCGCTCTCTGTCTTTTATTGCCTGGCCAAAAAGGCCGAAGGCTGAAAAACTGATTAATTGCCGGCGTCGCCATTTTGGAGCCCGGCACACTCGCTGCAGCTGGCGCAAGGCCAGAGGGGGGGGGGGGACGACGACTGCACACGGCAATTGGAAACGCAATTGCCGCCGACTCGCACCGATTTGGGCTGACTTTAAAAGGCAAACACAGTTTATTGGCAAGCCTCATCAATCAAATTGCCAAGTCGTTGCTGAGCTGAGCTGAGCTGAGCCGAGGCTCTGCTGAATGAGTCGCAATCGTTGCTTAGTCCATAAATCGTCGTCGAAGTCGTTTAGCTAATTTGCTTTAAATTTATTAACGCATAAATTCATTCAGCAGCAACATTAACTGAATTACTCGTTGTGCGTCTAGAATTTATTGATAAAAACAATTTGCATTATTACATACAATTTGATTCGCGCTCTCACTCACTCAGCCCCCTCTCTCTCTCTCTCTATCTCTCTCTCTCTGGCAACAGTTGCAAAAGGCGCAAAATTGTCATTTAAAATGTCATTCGACGACAATGTCGAGTTTGAATTGCGATTTAAATGAAAATAACCGTGAAGATAGCCATAAAAAATAATATAATATGTGCATGCACCGCAGCAATGTGGCTGTTGTTGTTGCTGCTGCTGTTGCTGCTGCATTTCAGTTTTTTTCTCTTTTTTTTTCAAATGGGCATAAACAAGTCTAATTAGACATGAAGTGCGATTACACGGACGCCACGCAGTCGTCGTCGTCGTCACACAACAAGCAACAAATCAGCAACAGTTGCTGTTGTCGCTTTGCCAAGCCAGACACAAGACAGACAGCTCCAGTTGCTGCTGCTGTTGCTGTTGTTGCTGCTGCTGCTGTTTGTGATTTCATTCGCTGATTGAATTGATTGGCAAGCAGCTCTAATGCAATTATGCGTCAAATATTGTCTACTTTTTTCTAGCCTGCTCATATTGCATTGCGAGCCAGCGACTAATGCAAAATTCAGCAACTGTTGCTGTTGCATTGCGGCACGTCTCTATGTCGCTGCCCCTGTTCCTGCTGCTGCTGCTGCTGCTGCTGCTGCACCAGTTGGCCAACACCAATCCAATCCAATCCGTGGGCCACTTAATCACTCTATATATCGCCCGGGTGACAAACTGATTGAGCCGCGCCGGCAGCAACAACCAAAAAAGGCAGCAGCAATTTTGGTGTTGTTGCTGCTGGTGATGCTGCTGCGGGGCCTGTACGTGCTGTTGCCGTTGGGGCCGCATCTTTCACGCTGCTCAATTGCCCACCTCCCGCCTGCCTGCCTGCCCTGTGCTGCTTGTGACACGTTTGTTTTGGGCTTTTGCGTGTTGATTGCTGCTGCTGCTGCTGCTGCTGCTGCTGTTGTTGCGATTGCTGTCGCTGTTGCTGTTGCACACTCATTGTTGGCATATTATCACATAATTTAACTGATGATGGCACCGCAGTTGCTGTTGCTTTGTGATTGCTGTCGTCGGCTTTGTTGTTGCTGTTGCTGTTGCTGCTCATGTTGCTGCTGTTGTCGGTTGGCGTGCTGCTTAATTGAATGATCACTCACACTTTGATTTGGCATGTTTTGTTCACATGCAACCAGCAGCAGCAGCAGCACCACCACCACCACCACCACCGCCACCAGCAATAAAACGGACGATCGCTAACGGTTATCGACAGTTGCATCAACTACCACAGCGATATCTCCACTTGATCGTGACTGAATGCCAGCCACAGCAACAACAGCAACAGCAACAACTGCCTCAAATTATAGCAACTAGTTGCAATGTTCTGCTATTTGAGTAGCTGCGAAAATCTAAAATGTCGTGCAGGCATGTAAATCGCTCTGGGCACTAATATAGTCTGTTTATCGATATATCGATTAGCTGGCGAGCGTGTTCGAGCACTGTGCTAATTGCTCGACGGGACATTGTTGCTGCAAACCAGATTTCTGATTATGGCTCGGATTCGCATTTACACTTGTTTTGGCCTGTAATGGGGCTTTGGCATTATGAAGAAGCAAGAAATGCCGATAACGACTTATCGATAACTACTAATTTACTGAGCTGGTTAATTGACTTACGGTGGAGGAATTTCAAAGATGCACTCACTGCATACATCTATACCTTTATCGATAATTATCGATAGTACATTGATATGTTTATCGATTAGTAAATAGCATAGCAGTTGGCCCATTTATCAACCTGCACTTGATAGTTAAATGCAAAAAAGTCAAATAGTTATCGATATGCCACAATCGATTCATAGACATATCGATGGTTGTCGATTAGCAAGCGCGCAATAAATTTGGCAATTGAACTGTCAGCACTCGCTTAAGCCAAGTTCTAAGGCGCCGCTGAACGTCGCTAATCTTTGGCTTGCTCTCACTCACTCCACACTCCACACTCCGCAGTCCGCAGTCCGCAGTCCACACTCTGCAATCCCGAGTTGTCACAGTGTTGTCCGGCTGCTGAGCTGCCTGCTCAGTGGCTCAGTTGTTGGCTGGCTGCTCAATTAGGCAACACGGGCAACCCGACCGAAGGGGGGGACTGACTCCAAAACCATTTTCGGCTACCTGTTCACCAATTATGGACATAATTGAAGGCGCCGACAACGGCAATCATCATGATCATGATGATGACGGTGATCGTCATCACCGCTGCTGCTGATGATCATGATGATCATGGCAATGGCATTGTCGCCTGTTGAAGCAAATGGGAACTGGGAATATGTTGACTAAGCATTTGGGATTTTATGAAGCTGTCGCTGGATTGTCTTAAGCTGCTTTCCGAAAGCTAAATCGATATGCATATTGAGAGATCTATACCATAAAGATCAACACGAAACGCGGCCCGAAACATGTCTTAATTAAGCCCAGGCCAGCCAACGGCCAGACACCGCCTGGGATGGGGCGGGCGGTCGCGCAGGTGTAG